AAGGAAACACTGCATGGCCTGCACCATTCTCATGACCACTGTGTTTGACCCCAAAGGTTCAGTCACTGCGCATTTCATCTTATCAAGGGTCTTTCTTTTTTTCACTTCCCTTTTACTCTACCAACATTGTATCTTTAATGTCAGTGTTACGATTTTATTACTATACCTATCGAATACAAATACCGCTGAAGTGATTAATCACGGAGGACATTTCACCTGAAACGTAAATCTTTGGTATCTCATAAGGAACAATTAATATTAGTTACGCCATTCTTATTTTATGAACTTGCTGCCATTGAGTTCCTTCCAACTCAGCAACCTGTAGGACAGAGCAGAGCCGCATCGGTGGGCTTCCAGGGTTATAACTTTCATACGAGGAGGAAGCCTGGTCTTTCTCCTGAGGAGTCGAACTGCTGACCTGTGGTCTGCAGCCCAGTGCCATTCCCTACCCCACCAGGGCTCCTTGTGTCACAAACAGTGGTTGTGAGATGATCAGTTTTAGACTGGTTGCATACGGAGAATAATCTCCCTTAACAAAGAAGCAGTTGTTGTTGTTGCTCACTAAGCATTTGTGTGTCATCTCAGACAGAGCTGCAGCTCGAACTGTCAGCAGACACCGGGAGGGAGGGCCATGGGATCTCTGGAAGGAAGGGCAGCTTGGACAAGACACTCAGAGTCCCTCCTCTGCAGGTTTCTTAGGGGTGACTTTGGGAAGTCACTTAACTTCTCAGAGCCTTAAGTGTCCTATTAAATGGGGATAATCACATCTACCTCATTGTTATGAGATCTACCTCATAATCATATCTTACCCTAAAAGGGAGGATTAGCTAAGCTAAATCCAATATGGCAAATTTTATTTTCCAAAGTGGTTGTATCTATCTATCTATCTATCTATCTATCTATCTCTCTATCTACCTACCTACCTATCCATCATCTATCTATCATCTATCGATATATCTATCATCTATCTATCCATCAGTCATCTATCTAGCTATCATTTATCTATCATTTATCAATCTATCATTTATCTATCTATCTATCATTTATCATCTATCTATCTATCATCTATCTATCTATCATCTATCTGTCTATCGATCTGTCTATCATCTATCTATCAGCGATCGATCTATCTATCTATTATCTATATATCTATCATCTACACCCCACAGATGCTCTTCTTGCCACATGCCATGAGAGTGGGGTTGAAATTCCTTCCCCTCCAAAAGAACCACGGCCTCTCTTTGTACTTACACCTACCAAGGGAAGTAGCTGAGGTGATGCTGCGTGATCCAGGGCTATAGACCAAATAAGGCTTGCACTGGCTCTTTGTCTCGGGATGCTTGCCCTTTGACCTTAACTGCCATGTTGTCAGGGAGCTCAGGCTACTTAGGGAAGACACAAGCAGGTGCTTCAGCTGCCCTTCAGTCAACAGCCAGTATCAATCATCAGACAGGTGAGTAAGTTCCCAAATTATTCCAGCTTCCAGGCTTCAAGTTTACCAGTTCAGGTCCCAGACATCCTGGAGCAGAAATAGGGCAAGCTGCTGTGCCTGTCAGAATCTCTGACCCACAGAAAATAATGAAATAAAAAGCGATTGTTCCTGTTTTAAGTCAGAAAGTTTGGGGATAATTTATTATGTAGAAATAGATTATCAACACATAAAAATCTCACCCACCCAAGGGGAGAGTATTGTTTATGTCTCCACAGAATTGGGAGTGGGCATGCAGATCCCACCACAAGGCACGAGACCTTGAAGGCAAGGTAGCCACCTGGAGCAACTCATCAACAGAATGGGCTACAGGGCCGGCCCCAATCACAGCCAAACTGAACCCTCCCTAGAAGTATGTGCTACAGAGGACAACACTACACCTTCAGGTTGGGAAAGGGGCCGGCATCCCACATCCACACGGAAGCCAACCAAGAAGAAAAAAGAGAGAGTAAGGGTCTAGACCCCATAGGGGCACACAAAGTCCTGAGCACAACATCCCTGCACGGAACTGATAAGGCCCAGAGAGGACTGTAGGGCCAGCAACAGCTGGAGACATGATGTCCCCTCACTGGAGCATACTGCGACAGAGACAATACTGGGGACATATGGCAGGGAGTGAGTCCAACCTAAATCTACCCCCCACCCCCACAGCAGGGTGAACCAAAAGGATATGACAGATCAGCAATGGGAGCAAAGCCAGACCACAAATCCCCCGAGGAGTCCCCCAAATAGGCTTCAGGCTAGGAGGGGCAGTTCCCGGAACCCCCAGGACCAGTGGGGCAATAGTCATAAAGGTCAGCAGACAGACCTGGAATTATGTATGTTTTTTTGCTTTTTGCTAGTTATGATTGCTTTCTCTTTTTAGTCAATCTTTTGTCTCCTTGTTGGGTTGCCTAACGATAGGCATGAGAAGCAAGCTGGAGGAGAAAGCAACGGACCCGACAGTTCTGGAGGGACTTGTGGGGCGGAGGAGCCGGGGGAAGGGAGCAGTGAGCAAACAGAACCATAGATGGGAAAAAACAGGTAATTAAAAGCAACAATGAGGAGGACATAGAAATTCCGGTGGTGTTAAAGCAGCAGCAATCTATCTGAGAGGAATTACTAAGAGGCAGAAGGGCGAGTGTGGTGGTGGGGCAGGAGAAAGTAAAAGGAAACAGAGGAAAGACCTAGGAAGCAAAGCTATGGATAGAGGTATAAACATAGATGTGTACATATGTAAACACATTAATTCATAAAAGTAGAGGTATTGACCTGTGTACATATATTTACATGCCAATACACTGAGGTAGTGGACAGACGTTGGGCCTCTGCTCAAGCCCTGCCTCAATGCAAGAACACTTTGTTCTAACAACCTGGCATTCTATGATGCTCATTCTCCCGGCATAATCAAAGACAAAATGCGTACACAAGCAAATGTGGTGAAGAAAGGAGATGGTGCCCGGCTATCAAAAGATATAGCATCTGAGGTCTTAAAGGCTTGAAGTTAAACAAGTGGTCATCTAGCAGGGAAGCAACAAGCCCACATGGAAGAAGCACACTAGCCTGTGCGATCATGAGGTGTCGCTGGGACCAGGTAACAGGCATCATATCCCAAACAAACAAAACATATTATTGAGAACGAGAGGTCGGAGCAGAGACCCTCCAAATCCATCTGTAGACAAAAGGACATCCCCTCACAGAAGGGTCAGCCCTTCTGGGGTTGTGTCAACTAGGGCGCAGTACAGCACCAGTGAAATACACAAAATTCCTCTGGTTCCTTGAGGCATCCTCACCCCCAACTATCATGACCCCAGTCTGTGGGGAAAAGGCCAGCGCCCCACAACTAATTGTGGGTTCAATAGGTGCAATTGTACAGTTGAAATATATATATATAATAAAATCATAGAGAGCATGAGAGATAGAAGCGAGATTGAAATAGTGGAGTCAGACACATTTCATGGTAGCATGCTCACCTCAGCCTCACTTGGTGGTCCATGGAGAGAGAGGGAGAGGAGGGCAGGAGAGAGGGGGAGGGGAAGGAGGACAAGGGGAAAGGAAACGGGAGTGAGGACCAGGGAAAGAGATGGGAAAAGCCGACCTTCTTTATTGCTAACCAAGGCTTATGTATCTTTGGGGGACATGCAAGCCCCCTAATTACAGGTAAAGACATACATCACAGGAAGGGGTTGCACTATAGGTAATACAGCAATGAGAGGAGGACAATCTAGGGACATACACGCAATAGGAAGAGGAGGGATGGGGGGCACACATGCAACAAGATGGGTGGATCCTAGATTCAGGATGGCAGCCTAACTTTGGAGGTTACTGAGCAGGTTTCACCTGTTTTCTCTGGCTGTCCGTGGAAACCATTGTCAGTAAGGTGTGAACCCCACCTACAGGGACCAAACTGATGGCCACAAGCCTTTAGGGAGAAGTAGCCCATTGTCCTTAACAGCAGGGAGTGGGCTCCTCTTGTGGTGGAACCAGACAGTAGTCTGGCAATTGACTGCCTTCAGGGAGGATGTCTCTAAGCATCTGACCTCCACCATATACTAGGAAATAGCCGCTGATGTTTGGCATGTCTTTGGGGGAGACAAAGCTGGGAGAAAGTCTCTTTACAATCCCACGCCAGTCCTGCCTTTCACTTTGGGCTAGACTGGAGCATGTACATAAGTATAACACAAGGAATTCAGGTCAGCTAAACCCCTCAGGAACAGAAATAGGGGTAGTGGCACCAGGAATGTAGCGGGAAGGTGGGGAAAGCAGGGGGGGAAGGGGGAACCAATCACAATGATTGACACATAAGCACAACGCCCCCCACCCCACTAGGGGGAATGAACAACAGAAACTGTGGGGGAAAGGAGACAGCACTTGGTGTAAGAGATGAAAATAATAATAATTTGTAATTTAGCAAGTAGTCACGAGAGTGGGAAGGTGGGAGGGTAAAAAGAAGAGCTGATACTAAGGGCTCAAATAGAAAGTAAATGTTTAGACTATAATGATGACAACATATTTGTACAAATATGTTTGATACTATGGATGTATAGATTGTTATAAGAGCTGTGAGAGCCCCCAATAAAAAGATCTTTAATAAAAAGTAAATAAACATGAACATAATTGATCAATATATGATGGGTTCAACATTAAAAAAATGTGTGCCTTATTATGAAAGAGGTTTTCAAAAATAAAAATTGGACCAAGACCTGGTTCTTTCCAAGCTGATCTCCGAGGGACTTTGGGGGGAGGGACTGTCTTGGACTTGCCTCCTTTCGCCCTTGTTGGTCTGTGCAAGTGTCCACGCTCAGGCTTCACGGCCGCACCTGCCGAGTTGTCAGTGGACTGCCAGCTCAGCCCTGGGCGTGGGAGCCACAGCGAAATCTGCTTCCCACCTATCTTTTGTCTTACTGGGCCCTTTACGTCTTTTCTTGGCATTACTCAATAGGCATTCGAGGTGATCTGTATTAATAGACCTTTCTCATGTTTTTCTTCTTTCAGAAGCATCACCTGGATTCACCAGGCTGAGGCACTGCCTCAGAGCAAGAGCAGGGCTCAGGTTGCAGTCGAAGAGGAGTTGTCGCCTAAGTTCGGATGTTTCTTCAGGATGCTTAGGTGTGCTTTTGCTCTTCTTCTTCAAGCCAGAAGGAAGATAGTACAAAAAGGGGTGTAGGTGCATGTGTGTGTATGTATGGGTTAGGGGCACTCTCAGAGGCCTGTGGGGACCTCCTTTGATTTCCTGGTGTACACTGGTTACTATTTTGAGCCTATCAGGATAATGTGGGGTTTTATTTATATTTATTTATGATCATTATTTTATTAATCTTTAAATCATTTGTGTTAGTCTGAGTAGACTAGAGAAACAAATTCATAGACACACATATGTGTGTATAAGAAAGAGGTTTATATACAAGAGCAGTTGAATATTGAGGAAACATTCCAGTCCAGATCAAGTCCGCAAGTCCAATATTAGCCCATATGTCCGATACCAATCTATAAAGTCCCCTTCAGACTCAGGAAACACATGCAATGATGCTGAATGCATGAAGTTCACAGGCCAGTGGATGGGAAGTCTTGTGGATCCAGTGGCTTTGTAACCATCTCAGCGCTGGCAGGGATCTCCATGTGGCTTCTCCAGCACTCAGGGCTGCATCAGGGTAGGTGTGGGATATAAACAGACTTTTACCCAGCTTTGTCTCCCCCAAATATATGCCTGACCTAAGAGGCTGTTTGCCAGCACAAGGTGGGAGGTCAAATGCTTAGAGATAGTCTCCCTGTAGCCATTCAGCCATCCACAGCAATCAGACACTATTGTTTACCCCACCATAGGTGGGTCTCACTCCCTGCTGTTAAGAGCAATGGATTCCTTTCCACAGACAGCTTAGTATAAGTCAAGTTTATGCTCCATCTTGAATCTAGGATCCACCCACCTTGTCACATGTGTACCCCTGATCCCTCCTCTTCCTATTGTGTACACACCCCTAGATCATTCCCCTCCCATAACTGTATTGCCTTTGCTACAACCCCTTCCTGTGATGTAGGCCATTACCTCTGGCCCTGCCTATTTTTGTGTTTTCAAAATCCTGGGCTTCCATGTGATATTTCTTTTGAAGAAATGATCCCGTTCTTCTTTTGTTTGTTTTCAACAGCCTTTTTTTGGGCACTTAATCCACATATCTCACAATCCAATAGTCATATGAAGAACAGTTGTACAATAATCACCACAATCAATTTTAGAACACTTTCTTTTCTTCTCCGTCTGCCCCTGTTAAATCACTTAAAAAACTTTTTTTAAACATTTTATTGGGAGCTCTTACAAATATTTTATTCCATAGTTCAATCACATCAAGCAGTATTGTATAATTGACAATTGTTACCATAATTAGTTTCAAAACATTTTCTTTCTTCTTGAATATAATTGACAATTGTTACCATAATTAGTTTCAAAACATTTTCTTTCTTCTTGAACCCCTTGATATCACCTCCCTTCCCCACCCTACCCCCAAGGAACCCCTTATTTTTCCTCCCTATGATAGTTTTTTTGGCCATATCTTACTCAATCCAATATATCCATCCACATACCGTTCCCTTATTTGATCCCACTGAGTGGGTTATACAGTCATCAGTTCCCTATTCTCCCCTTCCCCTGCCCCTCTCTTCACATATCCTCGGGCGACCATTACTCCTGTTACTGTTTCTGCAGGGTTACCTATCTTGCCTTTCATGTATGAGCTTTAATATACTATGAACATGTGAATCTAACATGATTAATGAAGTAAAAAAAAGAAAAACCATAATAGTAAGGGGAGGAAATATTAAAGAACTAGAGGATAGTTATGTGTTTCATCAATGTTTTACTGCACCCTGGATTTATCATCCCTTCAATTATTTTACACGTGGGTTTTGGGTCTCCACTATGTCCACACCCCTTCACATCAGTTTTTTTTTTTTAATTTAACATTTTATTAGGGGCTCATACAACTGTTATCCCAATCCATACACACATCAATTGTGTAAAGCGC